TAAGATCCGCACTGAGACCCGCCCCACCTAGGCTTGTGCTGCACGTTCCGCAGCAGGCCCTGCACCCTCATACTCGTCGCTGTGTCAGAGCAGCCGCCACGACCGAGTGTAGGCCGTTGCAGTGCCATCCATTTTCGGGAGATGTTACACACTCCTTAGCGGATCTCGACTTCCACCACCACGGTCCTGCTGTCTGTGTAGGCGGACACTCCCTTGCGGTGTCTCGATTAGCGCACAGTCTGACGCAGACGGGAAGCAGAGGGCAGGGGAGAGGAGGCTGAACCTGGATGAGGCGCTGTGTCGGGTGCATGCAGAGAGGGAGCAAGCTATGGCGGGAGCGCAAAGGAGCAGAAAGCAAAGATCTCGCCCGTTACTCAATGAAAACGGGCGGGGAAAGAATCATTTTGGGAGTTTTAATGATGGGCGAACCCGAATCTAGTGTCAGTTTTAGCAGAAAATCAGTAAAAAGGGAGGTTAGAAGAAAAAGCCTTGCGCGGAGATATGGAGAACAGCATACGGAAGAAAAGCGGGAAAGTTGATATCTCGCTCAATTTTTAATGGAATCGAGTGACGTAAAGTATTGAACGGGGGGTTTTCAGCGCTGTGAATTCAATGGTGTTGGTAGATCTGAGGTTAGTTGGGTAGGATTTAAGTTAGAAGGAAAACGGCGTGCGTGGTGGTATGCGGGAGCTATGCAGTAAGCAAGAAACAAAAATCTAACTAGATTCCCGACGGAATCAAGCATGGGAAGAGGCAAACCGAGGGTTCAAGGCCATAGTGAGCGCAATAGCGCCAGGAGATTTCGGGTTGGAGGTTTGGCCTGGGCAGTACAGTGACTTTGAGTTGCGCCCTGGGAAAATGACAATGTGCCTCCCCGCGTTTTAGCGGGAGATTCATTCTCATATTCACATGTTTAGTGAGTAGCGGGCTATGCAAGTTCGCACGAGCACGCTTGCCTGGCTGGAGACGTCATCGGTGTCCTGTGGAAGATTGTACCGCGGCAGGTTGGAGGGGGGCTTGTTGAGCTCGTCGTAAACGTCATTGAAGTCGTGGTGGTCGTCATCTCGATCCACTGGTTCTGGCCATGTTTACGGCCAGGTGCACTTGTTCGTTAAAAAGAGAGGGATTGTGGGGAGAACAAAAGGAGTCGAGGAGTAAAGGAGGGGAGCAGAGGCAACATCGGAACATGGAAAGACCTCTACAAGAAAGGTAGGAGGAATGTAGAGTGAGGGAGAAGGGAAAAGTGGTGCGTGGAGATGGTAGAGATGGAGGGTATGACTGCGCGAGACAACATAAATCTCGCTCGATTCTCGATGAAATCGAGTGAGGGAGGAGACTGATCTGAGGTTTCGAGGTGCTGCGAGCATCATGGCAGTGTCAGAATTGTCTATGGGTTAGCAGTTTGGCCGGGGCCAATACGGAAAGCTGCTCCCGGGGAGAAGGCTCGAAAATGGTGAACGTATTTTTCCTTGACCTAACGGAAGATTCATTCCAAATTACTCAGCCTACTGATGGAAGTAGCCTTCTCTGACTCGAAGCACGGTGTAGCTGGCTGGGTTTTTTGGGGAAGATTCATATATATATTTTTTTCTTTCCTTGTTTTTTTTTTGTTTTTTTTTTTTTTTTTTTAATACTCATCGAGGGGCTAGCGCATCCGTTCGTGTTTTCGACGGAAGATTCACTCCGATTTTGCACGTCATGCCGATCAAAGTGAACGAGAGGTAAGTCGTGGGTTGAAGACTTACCTGTTGGCAGATGCGTTGCTCAACTAGACGAATGAGAGCTCAAATCACTTATCTAGTTGGACGTGACAACGCTTTGGAGGCGGGGAATGATATATCTTCCCATGTTCTGGTGGAAGGTCCACTCTCATTTCGCACACTGGTGACTGAGAATCATACGGCTGCTCGTAGAAGTTTTACGCCGGTTTCTAGGGGTAGTGACGGTGCCCGTCGGACTCATCGAGCTTGGGAGGCTTGTCTTCGCGTCTCAAGGCTATCGTGCTTTCAGGGACCATTATGGGTGAAGTTATTTCTGCACCTATTGTGTTAGTTACAACCCTCTACCATCTCCTCGCTTGCCTCCGGGGCTTAGTGTTAGGACCCACAACCGGGCTCTCCCCATTCAAGTTATCTTGCGCTTGTTTGAACTTGGCCCTGGCTGCATGAATCAGTTGAGAATGTTGGCCGATCTTTGGACCACCACTACTGAGTATCAAGTTACTGACATTGGTTGTTCAAAACCGGGGGCTGTTGGTATCTGTTCGAAGTCTGCTACAAGTGTAGAAGGCAACGTTGTTGTGTTGCATGCCCGTATGATTCTGAAGAACTATTGTTACAACCCTGACTGTGTAAAGCTATACTTCCCCGTAAGCTTTTAACTGTGTGACCGTGCAACATGTAGCAGTTGCAGGCTGCCCCATGAGAAGAGGGCGTTCTACACCAAAGAAAGAGGGGCCGTGTTTTTTTTAAGAATTCCCGTTTCAATATAATATGATCCCTCCATCACCGTAGACTCAAAAGAATCTAATAAGAAAATATGAATAATAAGAAATTGTGACTAGGTGATCTCGTAGTTCTTAGTCATTAGAGATGAGTGCGTGTAAGCAACTTAGGTTGCAACACGGAGGCCCTATACTAGCTGGGGAGGGAAACCAACCCTTACAGGCAGCGAAGAGGGTCAGTTAGATTCCGCAGACAAACAAGAGTCTTCCTCCGGATAAGATTCACGGAGGTCTTTCTTCTTCGTTGAGAGAACGCAAACTCTCGGGCAGATATACGGATCTAATAGGTCTTCTTGCAGATCCGAAATTCTTAATGTATTGCTACGAGACTATCAAGAGTAAGCGTGGTTGCATAAAGGCTTGGCTCATGAACTTGCGAGACGCGCCACTATCCAACAAAGGGCTGCAGGACACTTGCCCAACTTGGATGTAGACATAGAGGAGCGGTGCGTTGTTGTCATCGTAGCACTGCTTGCGAAACTCACGGGCCACCTTGGTAACATATGCAAGGATGTCCCCCACCACGACTTCGTCATCAGTCGGCAAAGTTGGTGGTGCATAGAAGGATAAGTACGTGTGAAGATGAGCGCATAATGTTGCGCATTGCGGTCCCGGCAAGTGGCCCGTGGTCGGGAGACGAAGCCATGGGAAATCCTCGAACGTGAGCGGGTCCAATACCTTTATGTTGAACTCGCGCGCCGAATCCCGTGAAGAAACACTTGAAGACGACAAGTCACTGCTGGCAGACAGAGAAGATGCCGCACACACGTCTTGTCCTTGAGCATGAGTACCCAACGTAGCAACGAGCTGGGCAACATAGTCCTCATAAAAAATAGAAGAGGACTATCGACTTCCGCATGTGCCTCGAAACGAAGGGCGGTCACCTGCGAAGTGACCGGTTTCGAAGGCGTCGAGAGTGTTGTCGACTTACTCCCGACGGTGCTCAGTTTTTCGATTTGCCTTTGCCTTTCGATGGGCAGCCCATTGTCTCGTGGAAATCGCTATTACACCACAGACAATAACGGAATCTCGTGCGTGCGTTGTATGCTTGCTCGGAGAGACCGTAGTGGGACCATGAGGCTGGAGCTGTTGCGCCGGGCCCGGGGCTAGATGCGGTGTTTGTCTTCATCTTGCCGCGTCCTCGGCCTTTGCCGGGGCGGCCACGATAGCGGGCGGCTGCGAGTCTGTCCCCTTCATTGGCAGACACGGCCTCGCTAGTTTGGTCGATTGGCGTTGCCGCCGCGACCACGGCCACTTTCGGCCGATGCTGATCTCTGCTCGGGCCTGTCGCAGACGAACGGTGGAGGTTCCTCGTTCGTGACAATAATCTGCACGGCCTTGTCGAAGAGCTCCACCGGTGTCGTCAGGGTGTCCTTGACGTGAGTCAAGGCATTGCCCAACATCGGACATGACCTCGAGATGAAGTAGTGTTTGATGGCCTTGAAGCCCATTTGAATGTATGGGACGGATGTCAAGCGTTGGTAATCGGCAATCCAGTCAACACTCGGCAGTGCGCCTTGTTCGAAGGTCATCAGCTTGTCCATTGCCTTGATCTCCGACAGCTCTACTTGGAACCGCTTATACCGCGCCGCCTGTAAATCATCCCAGCTGATCTTGGTGTGCAAGTCGACAACCACCACTCCGTACTTGGACAAGAGATTGTCCAACCATGCTTGGCACGTGCCTCCCGACCGGGAGTATACGTACATGTGGTGCTTGTGTTCGCTGACGTAGTGTAGCTGCAACTTGAGTTCGAACTTGCGGAACCACAGAATTGGGTCCGTCTTTGTCGAATCGTAGAAGATCTCCTGATCATCAAACTTTGAAGTTGTCTCCCGCGGTTCCGATCTCGAGTGAGTGGCGGCAGTACAAATCCGTTGCTCCAACTGTTGTGTGGCGTTTTGCTGTAACTGCACGCCGTCCTTGAGGGATACGACGTCAATTTCCAAAGCCTCGAGGCGATCGGAGGTGTTGGAGGAGCTGGCAACGGGGGTGGCGACGGTTTGTTCCAGCTGCTAGAGGCGGTTGGTGAGTTGGTCAAACACCTGATTGTGCATCTAAACCGCGTCGTCGAGGTTGTGAATATCCTCCTGCTGTGCAACGCACGTGGCCAAGAGGTCCGTGAGATGGGAGAGGAGTAGAGCGATCTTGTTTGCACTCTTGTCAATCGTACCATTCTCGGCCTCGGCCCGCCAGTCCGCTGCCATTGTGCGCAAGGCTCTCTCTCCGCTGAATATCTTCTCGCGCCGTTAAAGTCGTTCTTCATCGGCAGCCTTTGCTGCTGCCTCGTCTTTCTGGCGCTGTTGTTCAATTGCCAACAGACGTGCCTTCTCGACGGCGGCTGCTACTGCATCTGACCGTTGCTTAGCTTCGGTAATCAGAAGCAGCATCCGGGCCTGATAGGCCTCGTCCGTTTCCCCGAGCTTCTGATCCATGCGGGCTGTTTGTAAGCGTGTGAGCATAGATCAGGCCGGAGGACTGCTGACGTGGCACTCCTGGTGCTGACGTGGCGCTGCTGTCGGCTGACGTGGTCTGCTGACATGGCCTACTGACGTGGTCTACTAACATGGCCTGCTGACGTGGCAACTTACCAATGCCGCCGTAGGGTGTGTACCCGGAGAGAGGTAGAGAAGGTAAGACCAGAGGGGGCAACAACGTAGGTGGGGAGGGGTGGGTGGGATAAATCGCCCAGATAAGGAGCCACTAATCAAAAAAAGAAAAGTTTGAACTTTGCAAAAAAAAATCGAGAAAAAAAAAAGAAATACTCGTTTGCAAGTTCAGTAGGTCTCCCAATTCCCCCTGAAGTGTGAAATTATGAATGAGAAAAAATTTCGGACCTTCAGACTGCAGATGAGTGTCCGATAAGAATTCCGAAAAGAAACTACAACCAATATTAAGACTTACTTAGATGAGAGTACGCGCAGTTTGAAAAATCATAACTGCAAGAGGTATTTCCCGTACCGTTGTCAGAAAAACAAATTTCGAAAAAAAAAAATTCCGGATTTCCAAATAATGGGAAATTGCAAAAGGAAATCGAAATTTTCAAAAAAAAGATATTCCGGATTTCCAACAACAAAATTTTGAATTTTCAGAAGAAAAACGAAAACGGAAATTTCAGGTGTTGCACTATTGCAATTGTCTACAACAGAAATAGTGGGAAAACAAAATCTAAGAAAAAGAAAAAATTAAAAAATTTCGATTTTTGGCAGTGAGGTCAAAATCGTGATTTTGGGGGTTAACTAGTGTGCTCTAATCAATCAATCAAGACTAATCGGTTACTTAGTCCCCGCACACGTGTGAGATCAGGTTGTCCTAATTCACGTGTTGTGTTCCGATACCAACTGTTACATGCCCAGTTGGGTGATGTAGATAATAAATCAAGGATCCACAATGTGATAAAAAGGGCTGAATGGACAATGCAGTGCAAGTGAAATCTCAACAAGCAGTGTACATTCTAATACATACAAAAATGGTGCTTTATAGCTCAGTGGAAGACTTAGATACAAGTCCTGACCTGACCGGGACTGACCTCTATCACGTAGTGTAAGACAGCGCAGTAGAATGCTAGAATACCAATGACTAGCCCAATCAATGTTGCGACGCGGACCAAACATACGCCATCCTCATCACAAGGTGTGAAGGGACCTGGCGCTACACACAGGAAGAATGCGCCAGGTCCAATTCATGCACAGACGAAGAGGAGGGGAACAGACGAAGAAGAGGGGGAGAGATGGGAATGTCGTCAACACCAAGTCTTTGTTACAAGTCCCAAATAATCCCTCGTCAGAATGTCTGAAGCCCAATGTTGAGTCTGGATCCAAATGTCACCAAGCCCGCTCTCTCATAGTCTGCTGATGCAGTGAAGTCAGGTAGCGAGAGGGTGAGAGGGAGATGGTGGACTGAGAAGAGGAAGAAGAACTCTCTCTCTCATATGTCAGGTACTAACTTGTGAAGATGGCGTTGTGCTGCAGGTAACTCGAAGGCGAAGCTGGAGCTATGGCGCTGCAGGTAAGTATCCCTGGCCTCTGCCCAATCTCTCTCTCTCTAGTACTACTCTAGCTCCTAAGAGCGTCCAACGCCGAAGACTATTGCTAACGCTACTAGCGCCCAGCGCTGAAGACTACTGCTAGCACTACTACTACTCCTGCAGCGCTCCTCCAGAGTGCTGCTGCCAAATCCTGAAGACTACCTCCTGCCTCCTGAACTGCACGGGAAGTGCCTGGGAAGTACCTAGGAACTACCTAGCAACTACCTGCAGCCTGCAGGGCGGGCCAGTCTTATATAGTGCTGGCCCGTCCAGGAGGCTGCTCTTGCCAATGCCAAAATGTGCCAGACCCTGGGGTTGAAGCTCAAACAAAGGTTGTCTTGAAAATAGGCCAAAAATGGCCTGAGCTAAAACCCTGGTCTGGTGCCTACGTTTCAGGGCAGGTCGATCTTATAAGGGCCTGAAATTGGCCCTCAGTTTCAGGCTGAAAAGACTCAGGGCCAAAAAGGCCCTGATTTAGGCTGGAACGACACAGGGCCTGTAGGCCCTTGTTTTCAGGCTTTCAGGCTGAAAACAACATGGGGCCTGTAGGCCTTTGTTTTCAGGCTTTCAGGCTGAAAGAAAATGGCCGGCGCAGCATGTAACACACTCTTTTTTTCTCTCTCTCTCTCTCTACACACACACATATAATGCCGTGTGACGCTTTCTTGGAGAGTGTTGTGCAGAGCCTTCTTGACAATCATAGCCAGGCTTTCCCTGCTTCCGCGCAGTGGAACACTTTTCAAAGAGGGTCATTTGGCGCATTGAACCTTAAGTAAAAAAAACGGACTTTTGTGCGGCCCTGCTTTGAAACCACGATCTCAGAATAATGAATTGCACTGCGTCACCTTGAACAAAAGAATGTGCAGTCTACTAGCAAAACATTGCCCCAAAACTTGAAACACTTTTCATTCATCCCAGCAGGCCGCATTAGGTGCAGCCTGGGTTTTGCTTTAGTAGCAGCGAATACATAGTACATTGCAGAGCGAGCTGATAGAAAGTTGGCCGTTGGATGTTGGTTTTGCACTGAGGTGATACTTGGAGCCTTCAAAGACGAGAGTCTGTAAATGTGTCTTGTATAATAGCATAATCTACCATGGCCAAATAACTGTACTTGAGTCCGGTACTTAAGTACGGACTCAAGCACAGTACGGGCACAAAGTTTTCAGCCTCAGTGCTCAAGTTCAGTGCGACTTTGCTTCGACATTGTGTTCGGGAATTCAAGACTGCACCTTTCCAACTTTTGCCGCTATGTGTCCGCGTCGAGTTTGTGTCGAGTTGAGTGCGTGTGTGTGTGTGCTCTCACTCTTCCTCCCTCTCCCAGCCTCGCTGCTCCGCCTCCACCTCGTCACACTGGTATAGGAGTGGTGTCTATCGCCCTCCCACCCGCCCTGATCGATGCAGAGCAGCTTCAACGACGCCATGCCATCATCGTCATCATCGTCTTCGTCATCGACCTTGCCACGTCATCCCCGTCGTCATCATCTTCAACGTCGACGTTGCCACGTCATCGTCATCGCTGCCACGTCATCACCGATCTTGAAATGCCGACAATAAGGCGCAGGTACGTCATTATTATTATTATTATTATTTCTTTTCTTCTTCTTCTTCCTCGATAACGTTTCTTTTCTTTTCTTCTTCGTCGTTTCTTCCTTCGTTTCTTCTACTTCTTTTCAGACATCGATTTTGAAATGGAAATCCAGACGATTTCGATTATTGATCCTAGAGATTGAAATCAATTCGATTTCGAT